GTGGCCCTCTGCAAATCTATGGTATAGTCCTATCAGAGCAGCCTCGGAAAACACACAATAAAGTCACAATAGTGATATTTCTTATATTTATTGCGAGAGACCTGCGCCGTAGCTTCTATGTGTTGGTCTACTTGTTGTTCTGCTATGTGGCCAGATATGAATACTTATGCAATAGAATCATTGCAGTTTTCTATTTCTAATAAATTTGCAAAGTTGTTACAAACCTGTTTTTTGCTTTGTCATTATGGTGTATGAGTGTAGACTGATGTGGGGAAAAAAGTTATTATTAAAGCAGTTTAACATAAGGCTGCAACACAAAATGTGAAAAAAATGAAGGGGTGTGAATACTTTCACAAGGCACTGTAAATATTGTACATAGTGCTTTACAGGAAAATGAATTTAGAAAAAATTCATAAAAATGTCAATAAAAATAAGTAAAAATGTAATACAAGAATACATTAGTTAGTTGTAAATGCAAGACGTTTTTATGCTGTATTGTTTAATATTTGTTAATATCAGCAGTGTTTATTATGTCTTCAGTTTCAACCTGACTATAGACTCGGGTTCTTTAAATTTCAAGAAGAACAAAAAGGAAACATGAGATTGACTGACAGGAACAAAACAGCTCCACCTTCAACAGATCAGGATCAGATCAGAGTCAGCCTTCAGTCTGCACTCTAACTTACATAGTCAATTACTCATAAGGTAAGTCTGAGTTTACTGTGTTTCTTAAGATCTTGAAAAATTCACTTTCTTTAAAAAAAAGTAAGAACAGTGTAAAAGGTAACAGTGTGACAAATCTCAACAACTTTTTAGCAAACACACACATCTTCACTTCTTACAGAAACGTTGCAGTTGATGAGAAAACTGCAGTCAGCAATGCTGTTTAATAATTACGCATGTTCTAGAACTTGTTTGTGAAGGGAAGCAAAATGTTAGGAATTTACACAACTATCATTTGGGCCATTGGGATTTTCTGGTGTATGAGCCTTACTTGTTTCTCTTGTTTTCAGAAGGTTAAAGTCCATCCCTCCCGTCTGCAGCATGTCTCTGACAGTGTCTCGGGATGAAGGACTGACGGTCATCACCGTCACCTCAAACACAAAGAGCAAATGGCCTGCACTGTGTCAGATTCTGGGTTCTCTCTGCTGTAGTCCAGTGTCTTCTGTATCCCAGGATATGAAAGGGAAGTTGATGCACGTTCACACAGCTCTTGGGGTGAGTCAGACACTTAAATTAATTGCAAAAATACCTTTTTGATATTTTCAGGCATTCTGATTTTAGAATGCTTTGGATAGATTTGATTTGAACATTTAAAAAAAGATCAGATTTAAGATGCTTAAAATATTTTTCACAATTAGGTTAAAGTGCAGTGCAATGTATTAAAATGTTTTTAAAACTCATATGCACTATTAAAAATAAAGGTGCGTCACGATGCCATAGAAGAACCTTTTTGTCTAAATGGTCAAATAAAGAACCGTTAACATCTGGCAAACCTTTCTGTTTCACAAAAGGTTCTTTGTGGCAAAAGAAGGTTCTTCAGATTATAAAAAGGTAAGAAAGAGATGGTTCTTTAAAGAACCTTTGACTGAATGATTATTTGTGGAACCAAAAATGGTTCTTCTATGTCATCGCTGCATGTGAAGAACCTTTTAAAGCACCTTTATTTTTAAGAGTGTGTGCTGAAAACATGACATGTAATGATGTATTTGAATCCTCAAAAATGATTAGTACTAAGCTGCAACTTTTAGTTCCAGGTTTTAGTTGCAAATGTTAATACAGCCAAAAATGTAAACATTTAAAATGTATACAAATACAAACAATGCAATGACAAACAACTGAAATGTTTCATTGTTTTCATTTAAAGTGTTAATTAAATATTTTGGAAGCGTTGCAAAAAAAAAGATCTCAAGCTTTCAGGACTTACAATGTCATTGTAGTAGCTGTGTACATTCTTAATTTTATATCTTGATTTTTTTTTAGATTACTGACAGCTTGTGGCATAACACTATATTGTTATCTTGTTCCATAGATTGTGCAAATTATAATTAGTGTCATCAATATTACGGTGGAGAATTTGTTTGCATGGCTTAAGTTTTATAGTCTGTATACAATATCCCTGGGACCCTTTTGGTTTGGTGGTGTGGTAAGACTTACTAATACTTGATTTTATCATATTTTACATTTGATTTGATATTTTCTAAAATTTTAAATGCACATATGTTTTTTTGTTTTCTTTTGCCCCTTAGTACCTAGTAGTTGGAATAGTGTGTGTTCTTCATGCTAAATTTCCTAGTACTTGTCTGGGTGTCTATGAAAGCCATGTCTTACATTATATCTGTGTTTATGATATTTCTGGTTCTGTTTTGTTTTGTTTTAAATATTGTTTGTGTTTTACAGCTGGTCATCACAGTGATTCTGAATTTAGTCAGTGCTGCACTGGCTATCGCAGCTGTAGTGCTGTATTCAATTGACCTGATGATGGAAAATAGTACTGCAACTCTATACTGCAACTCCTACAGTTATTCACAGACTGGTTACAGTGAGTTGCCTTTCACAACAAAGAAACAAAACACCAAAATCTGTTTAGATAGTGTAAGACAAGCTACAGCAAATATTTTGGTAGTTAACTGAAAAACAAAATATTACGTAATTTTTTATTTAAATATATTTTCTCTTTACTCACCTGATCCTCGGAGGACTAAATATCATGATGATAGCACTGTTGGTCCTTCAGCTCTGTGTGACGATCATTTTCTGTGTTTTGACTGGGAAAGCTTTGTGCAAGAAGGATGAAGATGTAAAGGTACTGTATCATCAGCACTATTACAACAATCAATCAGTCAAATCCACTGTGATCGTGAGAGAGTTTGAGAGAGCTGCTCTGTGTGTTTATGTTTGTTTTGCAGTCGGTGGAGGATCCAGAACTTCACAAGCCGCTCCTGGAAGATGCCACTGCTGGTGCTGCATGAACAAAAAAATAATAAATTATGCAGATAATGGCGCAAGTACCAGCAACTGACTACTACTGACTGACTACAGCAAACCTTAGATCACCCACATGGTTAATACTTTCCTCCCATACATTTGTGTACACGCATTTTCATCATTCATTTTCACTACACACCCTTAGTAAATCCTGACAGTAGTTTTTAATGCCAAAAGAGAGATTTAGCATGAGCTGTTAGTTTTTTTTTTTTATGTGAGTGGTGTAGTCAGAAAAGTTATCATAGTTTTAGTGACAATGACATAAATTATATACCAAGTATGAAAAATGTGCAGAGTTCTCTTGTTATTAGATTTTTAATAAAAATTTAATTTGTGCCAATTGGGAATTTTGCCCCATAGCCGTGCCTCCTGGGGGCGTTTTACCCCACCTGGCTAGGGGTGTTTTACCCACGGACTTAAATAACACATGCTCCATATCTACAGGCCCTACTGTTCTCATATCATATACAACTGTGATGTTCTACAAAACAACAAGCTTTAAAACACTTTTTTTCTTACTGCTGAAAGTTGAATCATTTACTGTGAAATTAGTTATATCTCAGATACATCACCAGTGTAAGCTTCATGGTGAATATTTCTACATCACTCTTGTCAACGTAGTCTATAGCTACAATAAAAGTTGATCTTGACTTTATCTTGTGGTTATTTTGGGAAAAACATTTGGGGGCGTTTTACCACATGGGGGCGTTTTTCCCCACTCTACCCCTATCTCTTTCTATATATAGGCTAGATTCAGATTAGTGGGTGTTACCTTTTATTGTCTTTTCAATTTTGTTGAGATCTTTGGAGCTGCTAGCTAATTAAATAAATAAATAGCCTAAATGAATGAATGAATTAATGAGTGGAGCACTCAGGCATCAACCCTTTTTTTACAACTTCCCTATTGTTTCACATACAACAATTTAAAAAAAAGAATATTTGTTTTCATTTATGTCAAATTATGTCAGGTGTTTTTAGCTCTAAAGCTACAATGAAAGTCAACCACATGTTGGTTTAAACCTCACTGTCTTTTATTGTATAGATAAGAATTAGGATAAGGATATTTCTTCAAAACATATTCGCTTGTCCTAAAACATATTTTAATTTAATTAACATCAGTATGATTATCTAATAGCAGCTGATGCTGAATGAGTGGAGCACTCAGGCATCAACCCTTTTTTTTACAACTTCCCTATTGTTTCACATACAACAATTAAAAAAAAAGAATATTTGTTTTCATTTATGTCACATTATGTCAGGTGTTTTTAGCTCTAAAGCTACAATGAAAGTCAACCACATGTTGGTTTAAACCTCACTGTCTTTTATTGTATAGATAAGAATTAGGATAAGGATATTTCTTCAAAACATATTCGCTTGTCCTAAAACATATTTTAATTTAATTAACATCAGTATGATTATCTAATAGCAGCTGATGCTAACCCAGTTCAAGTTACAATAGGATGCCCATTTCTATGAAAAAAAAAAGAGTAATTAAAATGGAAAAAACGCGCACTAAAGGTTGTGTGGGTTTATAGGCCTACTCTTAAAATAACTCCAGGTTTGGTTTTGTATGGGTGGAGAAATGACGCCTCGTGAAGCTCTCTGATCGTACTTGGATCAAACAGGCAAAAAGATTAAAAGACTCGGAGCATCGGCAACAACGCCATCTGCTGCCTCATGAGACTTACAACAGCCATAAAGCTTGGAAATTTAATGCACAGGCCTAGGCTATATTCTTAATTAAAATGTATCTAAATGGAAGAACTATTTTGTAGCAGATGGGAGGGAAAAAAAATATCGCTTTGCGTTCTCTTACGAAACATTTGCGTCCCCGTGATAAACTTTGTGTGACGGAAATAATAAAAAGATGGGAGGAAAAACTATTTGGGAGTAAAAACATTTTAATGCTTTTTCGCGCGAACGCAAAGCTTCTCGGGGAACCCGATACTTCTGCAAGAGAACGCAATTTTGCGACACAACGCAGACACTGAAATATAGGCTATCTCTACCTTTTTTCCTCCATTACCATGTCAAAACCCCACTCAAAAGTCCAAAGAATTACCCAAAAAGTACAGGGTAGCCTACACTCTTCACAGTTCAACCAACCATCGGAAAACCAACCACTGCCAACGTAACTGGAAAGTTTAGACGCGCAATAGGCCTACAGAAAGTGAAGCTTCCATCATGTGATTTTTTTAAACAGTGCGGAGCTTCATTGAAAAATGAGCCTCTGTTTCATAGCCTACATGTTGTGGCTTCGTATTTGTTAACCGTATCAACAGTGCAAAATACTGACTATAGCCTACGTGGGTAATGTAAATTTCAAATGAAACAAGGAAATGTAAAAAAAAAACAAATCATTGACCGGAATCAGGCAGGGACAAAACAGCTCCACTTTCAACACATCAGGAAAGAGTCATCTTACAGTCTGGACTGTAAAATATATACAATTACTCTAAGGTGAGTATAACGTGCTATCGAAAATGTAAGAACCATTTTAAAAGTAAAAAAGTGTTACTAGAATCGCAACAATTTGCTTTTATAGGCTAGCAAACATGCGCAGGTGAGTTTTCACTTCCTAGAAACGTTGATGCAGTCGACGAGAAACTGACAGTCAGCAATGTTGTTTCAATAATTAATTAGGCATATTTTAGAACTTGGCAAAGGAAAACAAATTGTTATGAATTTACATAACTATTATAAGAAACATTTCATTTGGGTCAGTGTGATTTTCTGATGCATGAGCCCTACTTGTTTGTTTATCCTCCATCCCTCCCATCTGCAGCATGCCTCTGACAGTGTCTCAGGGAGAGGGAATGATGGTCATCACCGTCACCTCAAACCCAAAGAGCAAATGGCCCGCACTGTGTCAGATTCTGAGTTCTCTGTGCTATGGTCCAGTGTGTTTTGCATCTGAGGATATGAAAGAGAAGTTGACAGACACCCTGAGAGTTATTGGGGTGAGTGAGAGACTTGCACTGATTGAAATCTTGGTATCATTAAAAAAAAAAAAAAATTAAGATGCTTAGGTACGTTTCCCCAGACAGCAGACAGTTTCGGCCCAGATCTGGCCCACATCTGGCCCGCATGGATTTCACATGGATCTGGGCCAACACTATGTTGCTGTCTGGGTCATATACTCTTAATTTTGCATATCAAGTTGGAGGTCTATCAACTATCAACAAATATTGTTCTCTTATTTCATAGATTGTACAGATAGTAGTTGCAGTCATGAATCTTGTGTTGGGTTGTTTTGGCATCATCTTCTTTATTGCTACCACTTCGGTCAGCAGTATGGTAAGACATTCCTCATTCTGTTCATGTTTATGTTTCTAAATCAGATCAAAATGAACATGTACAGTAGCCTATATAGCATAAGGCTGTAACAAAAACGCACACATATAATCATATGCTGTATGATTTGCTAGTTTTATTAAATTACCATGGGTGTGTTGATATAAAAATTCTCCTTTACTTTCCTTATATGTGCAATTCGAAAAATCATCCTCCGATCTTTTTATCTAGGTGTTGTCGGTTCTTCAGCTCTGTGTGGTTGTCACTTTCTGTATTTTGACCATAAAATCTTTGTGCAAGAAGGGTGGGAGTGCAAAGGTACAGTGTTGTGCTTATAATAGACAGAACATGATTTCAAGATTTCATGATCCATGATTCATGTTCATGTTTGTCTGTGGTTTTGCAGTTAGTGGACAAAACAGCTTCAGTATCTAGAAGTGGAATAAGCCAATATTCACTTCCGTTTGGTGGCAGCTGTAGCATGACTCTTGCATCGTCTCAGGTGAGGGACTAACTGTTATCACCCAAAAATAGTTCACCCAAAAATTTAAATTGGCTAAAAATATACTCACCTTCAGGCCATCCAAGATGTAGATGAGTTTGTTTCTTCATCAGAACAGATTTGGAGAAATTAAGCATCATTTGCTCACCAATGGATCCTCTGCAGTGAATGGGTGCCGTCAGAATGAGAGTCCAAACTGCTGATAAAAACATCACAATAATCCACACCACTCCAGTCCATCAAACATCTTGTAAAGCAAAAAGCTGTGTGTTTTTAAGATACAAATTCATCATTAAGACATTTTTGGGTGAACTGTTCCTTAAAACCTAAAGAGCAAATGGCCTTGTGTCAGATTCTGAATACTTTATGCAACTGTCCAATGTGTTTGTTTTTCAGGATATGAAAGATAAGCTGACAGACATTCACACAGCACTTGGGGTGAGTCAGATCTTTTTGATAATATCAGCTTTAAGAAATGATTTTTACTAGATGTATTGTCATCTGAAAACGGGTACAAATATTGTTCTCTGGTTTCATAGGCTGTACAGATAATGGTTGGTGTCATGAATATCACAATGGGTTGTTTTGGCTTCATCTTTTCTTTTTGGATCGGTGGTGTGGTAAGAGTTGTTACTCATTCTCATCATTATGTTTCTAAATGAGTTCATGCAGTACAATGATTGAGTTCATTCAAAAAGTGAATCATTTATGACATTGATCTTGCTTTGAGAATACCCTACATTTATTGTATTTTTGTATTTATTTTCATATTATTTTGATCAGAATGAGGTGGAATAATGTGAAATCTGGTGGTTTGTATTTACACTTTTAGTTTGAACAAGCATGTTTGGATGGACCAATGTACTTATTTGTTTGCTTTGCCTTTTAGTTCCTTGTTGTTGGAATTACGTGTGTTCTTGCAGTAAAGTTTTCCCGTCCTAAGCTGGTAGGTGTGAATCAAGAGTTAATTAATTAATTAATTAATTCATTCATTCATTAAGCAACATCAATTTATATTGTTTGTGTTTTACAGCTGGTCATCACAGTGATTCTGAATGTAGTCAGTGCTGCACTGGCAATCACAGCTGCTGTGCTGTATTCAATGGACCTAGCAATGGGAAGCAGTTTAAGCTGTTACAGAGAATATTATTATTATTCATCTAATAATGACTGGCTTACCCAAAAAAAGAGTAACTTTGAGTCCTGTTTTTACTACAAGAATCTCAATCAGGTGATGATTTGATTTATTTATCTTTTTCAATGTTGTAAAAAACACATTTGTGTGTACTTTATTAATATTTAAGAGTGCGCTGATGTTTTTCCACCTCTAGATGATCCTCGGAGGGCTAGATATCATGATGATAGCGCTGTCGGTCCTTCAGCTCTGTGTGACCATCAGTTTCTGTGTTTTGACTGGGGAAGCTTTGTGCAAGAAGGATGAAGATGTAAAGGTACTGCATCATCAGCACTATTACAACAATCAGTCAGTCAAATCCACTGTGATCGTGAGAGCGTTTGAGAGAGCTGCTCTGTGTGTTTATGTTTGTTTGTGGTTTTGCAGTCGGTGGAGGATCCAGAACTTCACAAGCCACTCCTGGAAGATGACACTCCTGGTCCTGCATGTTAAAGAGACAAGATAAACACACAAATTTACAAAGTTATTATTTTTTCTTGTAATGGAATGACATTTTGTCTCTCATTTTAATAGTGAAATTATGTCACTGCAGTACAATAATCATATCCAAGCTACATCTTCATTCTTGCCTTTTCCTTTAAAATGAATTGTTTCTGGAAAAAGGGAACTTTTGGAATTCCTTTTGAAATAAATGACTTTTAGCATACCCTGTGCACCCGTTTTCAGGATGTTTGTTTTGTTTTTTCATACTAACCTGGTGATTTCACCACAAGGTGGCGTGTATCACATTCAAGACTGTTTAAAGTGTGAAGGCAGAAAAGAACCACCAGATAAATGCTTAAAGGGGTCATATGATGCGATTTCAATTTTTCCTTTCTCTTTGGAGTGTTACAAGCTCTTGGTGCATAAAGAAGATCTGTAAAGCTGCAAAAACTAAAGTCTCAAATCCAAAGAGATATTCTTTATTAAAGTTAAGAGTCAGCCACACCTACCTAAAACGGCTCGTTCTGGTTTTCATGTTTTTGAATCATCGCTCCGGCCTGACAGGGAATACCTGAGGTATTCGGCCAATCATAACGCACTGGATAGCTGGCCAATCACAGCACACCTTGCTTTTCAGACTGATGAGCTTTGTAAAAATCGACGCGTTTCAGAAAGGCAGGGCATAGAGGAGAAACAATAATGTACAGTATGTGGAAAATAATGTGTTTTTTGAACGTTAAACCGCATAAACACATTTCATTACACCAAATACACAAAATAATGTTCTTTTTAGCAGCATCATATGACCCCTTTAATAAATATCTAATGGCAGTGCCTAGGTAAAATGACCCAACAGGCTGAACCCAGCATTTTTTAAAAAGTGTATATTTGGCAATTAATAATTTTAAAAGACTATTGTTGTTATGGATTCCTGTGCCATATATCACTTCAAAATTATGGCTTGGGTACATAGTTTATCATGTATTCATTATTTATTTTTATCACGGAATAGCCCTACAAACATACATCTCACAGCTGAGGTTGATTCATTGTCCCCACCAGTCTAACAAACCTTCACAAAATACTGAATGTTTGCAAGCTTTTCCAAATGTACTATAAAATGCCTTTCTCTTTAGTTGTATCAGAACTAGAAACAACTGCTTTGCGATTGATTCACTGCTTTTCTACTTTCCTATTGATTGCCTTTATATGGAACCCCATAAGCTTGAAAATGAAAGTAAAAGATTTATTTGCTAAAATTATTTTCAATATTATATTGACACTTGACTTTAAACCCCCTGTAATTCAAGGGGAAAAGCCTTGTGGAACTGTTCCTGAAGGGAAAAAACACTTCTGCTTTTAACAGTATAGGAAAAGAGCCACTTGCTTTGTGATTCACTGTGTTCTCTGCTTATTAGTGATTCAAAATGAGTTAGTGAGTTTTCCGGCATGGCCGTGGAAAGTGTATGACTGAGAACTTCACATCTGTGTTCACCTCCTATGGCCATGGAAGAAGCCTGTGTAGACATTTCAGTCGATGCGTGCCAGAGGTGGATCAGGATTTTACCCCAGGGCCAAAATAGCTTGTGATGTTGAAGATTCTCTGGGCTGTCCCAAGACGGGATGCTGGGGCAGAATACATTATTTGTTGTTGTTTGGTTGTATTGGACTGTACAGTACATTAAGTAATAACAAATGTTCAAATGTATACATTTGTTGTGTCTTTTGTTGTGTTCATCATGTGAAAATATTTTTGAGGGGGAGAACCACAAGCAATATAACTTAAAAAACTACCGTTTTTGTAGTATTGTTTTGAATTGATCTCGATTAGACTTCATTTTGATTCAAAAATAGGAAGTTTGGGGAATTGGGTGAGAATTATAGAGTTTTGAGAAAAGGAGGCAGAGTTTTAAAAACGTGTTTAAGCAATCAAGAAAAGCTGTAATTAACTCATTTGCACTCAGTTTTATTATGTCACATGAAATTAAATTTGTAAATGCTAAAGTTTAATCCACTTGTTGTGGGACTACAGTAATCATTTTTGTTGCATCGACTGAAACCAGGCCGTTTTTATTAGTAGAGGGAAAGACTTGTTAGTATTTAATGCTTTTATGTTTGTTGGACTTTTTGTGGTTACCATTGTGAGCATAGTGTTTGTGGTTATACCTAACATAAGTGCAAACTATGATATATGTTGCTGTCAATGAGTAATAACTGTGATAATGCCAGTAACAAGTAATTTCTCACTTATTCATTAAGTACTAAAAATTGCATTTCACAATTCTGTTATTAATGCACCCAATAATGATGTTTACACATCACTGTTATATTATGTTTTATTTGTTATACTTAATGCTCTTCAGCAAATACATCAGAAACATAAATTTTTACCACGTATATGAAACCCTCGGCAGTCAGTTCTCAGTATGTTGGACATGTCTGTATACTGTTCTCAGATCAGTACTGTTGGACTGAGTTTTGATTGAATAACTTGTAGATCTGTGCTGACTCGAGCAGCGAACTGTTTCAGATGTTTTAGTTCGATTTGGTGAACTGGTTCATCCATGTCTATGGTGGTTACAGCCCTGCGTTGAATTAAGATGCATTTTACTCATCAGTACAATTCACCTAGTTTAATTTCAAATAAATCTTTTCATCTGTGTAGAACCACTCAAAGGCTCACAGAAAGATAAGCCAAAACACTCAACTTTATCACTAAACTAAAGTGACAGGACCCTGACACTCAGCCACATTGCAAACTGCCAAATAATGAGTTTAAATACACTGAACAAAATTATAAATGCAACACTTTTGTTTTTGCCCCCATTTTTCATGAGCTGAACTCAAAGATCTAAGACTTTTTCTATGTACACAAAAGGCCTATTTCTCTCAAATATTGTTCACAAATCTGTCTAAATCTGTGTTAGTGAGCACTTCTCCTTTGCCGAGATAATCCATCCACCTCACAGGTGCTGATTAGACAGCATGATTATTGCAAAGGTGTGCCTTAGGCTGGCCACAATAAAAAGCCACTCTAAAATGTGCAGTTTTACTGTATTGGGGGGTCCGAAAACCAGTCAGTATCTGGGTGTGACCACCATTTGCCTCACGCAGTACAACACATCTCCTTCGCATAGAGTTGATCAGGCTTGTGGAATGTTGGTCCACTCCTCTTCAATGGCTGTGCGAAGTTGCTGGATATTGGCAAGAACTGGAACACGCTGTCGTATACGCCGATCCAGAGCATCCCAAACATGCTCAATGGGTGACATGTCCGGTGAGTATGCTGGCCATGCAAGAACTGGGATGTTTTCAGCTTCCAGGAATTGTGTACAGATCCTTGCAACATGGGGCCGTGCATTATCATGCTGCAACATGAGGTGATGGTCGTGGATGAATGGCACAACAATGGGCCTCAGGATCTCGTCACGGTATCTCTGTGCATTCAAAATGCCATCAATAAAATGCACCTGTGTTCGTTGTCCATAACATACGCCTGCCCATACCATAACCCCACCGCCACCATGGGCCACTCGATCCACAACGTTGACATCAGCAAACCGCTCACCCACACGACGCCATACACGCTGTCTGCCATCTGCCCTGTACAGTGAAAACCGGGATTCATCCGTGAAGAGAACACCTCTCCAAAGTGCCAGACGCCATCGAATGTGAGCATTTGCCCACTCAAGTCGGTTACGACGACGAACTGCAGTCAGGTCGAGACCCCGATGAGGACGACGAGCATGCAGATGAGCTTCCCTGAGACGGTTTCTGACAGTTTGTGCAGAAATTCTTTGGTTATGCAAACCGATTGTTGCAGCAGCTGTCCGGGTGGCTGGTCTCAGACGATCTTGGAGGTGAAGATGCTGGATGTGGAGGTCCTGGGCTGGTGTGGTTACACGTGGTCTGCGGTTGTGAGGCCGGTTGGATGTACTGCCAAATTCTCTGAAACGCCTTTGGAGACGGCTTATGGTAGAGAAATGAACATTCAATTCATGGGCAACAGCTCTGGTGGACATTCCTGCAGTCAGTATGCCAATTGCACGCTCCCTCAAAACTTGTGACATCTGTGGCATTGTGCTGTGTGATAAAACTGCCTTTTATTGTGTGGCCTTTTATTGTGGCCAGCCTAAGGCACACCTGTGCAATGATCATGCTGTCTAATCAGCATCTTGATTATGCCACACCTGTGAGGTGGATGGATTGTCTTGGCAAAGGAGAAGTGCTCACTAACACAGATTTAGACAGATTTGTGAACAATATTTGAGAGAAATAGGCCTTTTGTGTACATAGAAAAAGTCTTAGATCTTTGAGTTCAGCTCATGAAAAATGGGGGCAAAAACAAAAGTGTTGAGTTTATAATTTTGTTCAGTGTATTTAGATAAAATGTGCAATAAAAAATAAAGAAAATTGTGTTAGTATTGCATTAATGCAAACAGGAAATCAACTGACGCAGGCAGAAATAACATGTATAAATATAGATATTATGTGTGAAAGCAAGTGTGTGTCAGCACCTCCACAGACTATAAGAAGGGGTGCTTACTTTAATGTGAGAGAAGAGCGCTCAAGCATCTCGACGAGCAGCAGGAAGGGGAAACCAGCGCTGATACACCGGACACATTCTATAAGAGACACGCAGACGGAGGATAGGGTAAGCTTTATCTGTAATTAAGTGAACTGTTCAAAACCAGGGTTATAATCGTTAACTGAAACTATCAAAAACATTTCTTTTAATTAAAAAAAGTAAAATAAAATAAAATAACTATAATTTGAAATTTTACTTTGTCATTAAATAAAAATAAATTAAACTTAAAAGAGTAATATTTAAAAAGAGCAAAAACGAATAAAAATGACAAAAGCACACACAATTATTAAAAAAATAAAATAAAATTACAACTAAAAATACAAAAATAAATGCTAAAAACTATATTAGTATAAAAATAAAATAATTATTTTCCAGACAATACATGAATGCAGGCCTTTTCTATTTTCCTTTTTTAGTGGCATACAAATTAGGTTTTCATCTCATATTTACTACAGGCTATTCAACACAGAACCAGAAGAATATTTTGATCAACATGATATAAGCAATTGATAACATAGGAGACAGAGGACAAAGGCACTGGCAATTTGTTTAAAAAAAAGAGAAATTGCTTATATGATGTGCACAAGAGATGGTATGGAAGTTGAAGTCACTTTGATCTGAGAAATGTACCAAAGCATCTGAGAAAAACCTGTAAAACATTAAACCAACAACATGGTGACGCAACCATAAGAGCAACTTAACTCTGATTATATATATAATTAAAAGAACAATGTGAAAAATGGAAATACACTGCTGTGATCAACACTTGTTTCTGGGTGTCCATCAAGAATTGTGAGGTATTTTATCTTTTTGATGTTGTTGTTGTAATTTAAAGCCATAGAAAGTCTTGAAATGGCTTGAACAATCTAATTCTTTATTTTTATTTTATTATTATTATTTGTAATTATTTTTATTCTTTTCATTTTAGCTGTCAAAAATGTAACTAACTAACTAAATAAATAAATAACATTTGACCATTGTTTCATGCGATTCTCGTGTTGCCTCTGTACTGTATTTACAGCTCGTTGTAAATGCAGTTTTGTACTAATGTATTGTTTTATTTTGTGCTAACCTCAGGCAATGAAGAAGATAGGAGTTCCTGGAAAAATTCTCTGTGTCTTGATGCTGCTGTGAGTATAAAATACTGAATTATTGTATTTTTATATGCTAAATTGGGTAGGTTATTGGGGTTTGGTTCATTAAGAAAGAAAACTACAACAAATGGAATGTTATTTATTTATATTTATATTGAATACTGATCAAGAGCTGAATAAAGAATTTAATATAAAGCTATTTTTGTAACATTTCTCATCTGTGTCCTTGTGCTTTCAATATTTTGTGAGTTCTTTTGGGCAGGGTGATGATATTATGATGTCCTTATACCTGCCCCTGCACAGCTGAGGCTCACTCTATGTGCACACTTCCCTGCGTAGAGGAAATGTTGTAAAAAGTATTAGGACTGCACAGAAAATATCATTGTGCAATGAATGACTAATTCTGACTAATGTCAGAATTTCTGCCTGTTTTCTTCCCTGACGTGTATTTAATAGTAGCCTGAATACTTTTAGATGAAGTTATTTCCCTTTGCATTTATTCATTTGACATTTATCCAAAGCAACTTACAGTGCATTCAAGCAATACATTTCTGTTGACCTGATATTCTGATTCTGTTCCACAGACTGCACAGCAGTATTCAGCAACAAGTCTTTAATGATGAGGAAACACTCCATCTCCCTGCAAACTATACAATTGGCTGGATGGAAACTCTGGATGATGAAAAGTTAATTTCTGACATCACTCTTCCTGGTACCCATGAGAGCTTGGCCCTTCATGGAGGATTCATAGCAAAATGTCAGGCTTGGTCTCTAGAGGATCAGCTAAAGGCCGGGATACGCTTCTTTGACTTCAGAGTATTTCCACTTGGGAAAAATTTGCTAATTATGCATGGACCAGTTTACCAATATGCAACTTTAAAAAATGCTCTCGAGACAATTAAGACATTTTTATCTAAATATAAATCTGAAACAGTGTTGGTCAGAGTTAAGCCTGTTCTTTTTTTAAAGAACAAAGTTCCACTTTTAGTTGAAAATATGGCTAAAAATTACCCTGAATGCTGGACTGAAGAAACAATACCAAACATTGGTCAAGTAAGAGGAAAGATTGTATTTGTTCAGAAAAATGCCATTCGGCTGGGTATCCATCTATATGAAACTGATAAACATAATGACTATATAGTGACTAATGTTGAAAAAAAAAAAGAAACAATTATTAAGCATCTGAATGACACTACATATGAACAGTATAGAGCTGATTGTGTTGTTTTGAACTATTCAAGTGGCACAGGCATACCTAGATTGAGTCTAGACATAAACCCCAAAAGCTTGGCAAAGCAAATCAACCCTTGGCTGTATAAACATCTCGATAATGAATCAAAGAAAACCAATCCCAAGCCTTGTTTTGGGGTGATAGCCATGGACTTTCCAGGCTTGGATTTGATTAAAAAGGTCACTGAATTCAATTAGTAGATGTTTCAGACTGTAATTATCAAATTAATATGCTGAGCTGACTAATTCTGTTTTTTATATATTTTTTTAATTTTAGTTATTTGAAAATCAAGCATGATGTGCTACTGACCTGAGCTTCTTGAGATGCTCTGTTCATGTTTATGATATAAAAGACACCACTGCTGGTCCTGCATGCTAGACAATAAGATAAACATAAAATATCACAGTTATTCGTTTTGCTCAGACTGTAATTATCAAATTAATATGCTGAACTGACTAATTCTGTTTTTTATATATATTTTTTTAATTTTAGTTATTTGAAAATCAAGCATGATGTGCTACTGACCTGAGCTTCTTGAGATGCTCTGTTCATGTTTATGATATAAAAGACACCACTGCTGGTCCTGCATGCTAGACAATAAGATAAACATAAAATATCACAGTTATTCGTTTTGCTTGTCTCTCATTTTTAAATGATGTTATACCATCTAATCATCAAGCTACATTTTTATTCTTGCCTTTTCCTTTAAATAAATTACTTAACTGGCATCACTGGCTTTCCTGATTTTTTTTTTTTTTTACACTATACATCTTCAGACACACTGTGTAGAATAGACTTTTTTATTTTTATTATTTATTTACTATTATACTTAATATTACTTTTAGTTTACTTTACTTTTACTTTTAGTCATTTAGCAGACGCTTTTATTTCTATTAATATTTTGAATTTGCTTTATTTGAGTGTTTTTATAGGCCTACTACTAATAAGATTTAATTTATTTTTATTTCAGTTATAGTTCAATTTTTGTTTTTTTTTCCTATTAAAGCTATTTACTTTTTCCCGTTTTTTAAGGGACATGAAAATCAATTAACTTTCCTACTTTTGTATTTAACCTAAATTAAGACAAGGACCAAAAAATAAAATAAAATAAAATGATAAAAAATATATACAAAAATTAAGGGATATAAATTATGTCTGAAACGTTTGCATGATTTCACCACCAGGTAGCTTGTATCACCATAGATATGTATAAAATACATATCTATGTGTATCGCATACAAGTCAGCTGCTGTCAAAAAATGTGTAAAATCAGAACAGAGCCACCAGATAAATGCTTAATAAATTAAAATGCTTAATAAATGAAAGTGTCAATGCTGCCACAAAAAAGCTTGAGCTAAAGTACTCAAAAGCAGACTAAGGGTGTCTAAAGATCGTTTGAAATTCATATAAAACCTTATGTGCTCTTTTTTTAGATATTATTATTAGTAATCCTGAATTTAAAATATAAATTTGGTTAATATTCATTCAATAGACTTTAAATAAATTTTTTCCAATTTTGATCAATCCTGTATTAATTTATTGTTTGTTTTTCTCAATTAGTTTGATATGCTGGTAATAAAACTTTAAAAAAAAAAAAAAAATTAAAAAAAAAATGAAAAATGCATACAAAAACATTTCAAAACTAAAAAATTTAAATAAAAAAAAAAAATAAAGCTAAAAACAATTCAAAAATATTAAAAGAAAAAAAGGTATGAGTATAATAATGATTCTAGCATAACACTAAGCCAAACACCAAAAAACAACTACATATGTGTATGTACAGCCGCACACATATATATACATGTACATATATATAAATACATTAAATATATATATATATTTTATTTGAGTGTTTTTATAGGCCTACTACTAATAAGATTTAATTTATTTTTATTTCAGTTATAGTTCAATTTTTGTTTTTTTTTCCTATTAAAGCTATTTACTTTTTCCCGTTTTTTAAGGGACATGAAAATCAATTAACTTTCCTACTTTTGTATTTAACCTAAATTAAGACAAGGACCAAAAAATAAAATAAAATAAAATGATAAAAAATATATACAAAAATTAAGGGATATAAATTATGTCTGAAACGTTTGCATGATTTCACCACCAGGTAGCTTGTATCACCATAGATATGTATAAAATACATATCTATGTGTATCGCATACAAGTCAGCTGCTGTCAAAAAATTTGTAAAAGCAGAACAGAGCCACCAGATAAATGCTTAATAAATTAAAATGCTTAATAAATGAAAGTGCCAATGCTGCCACAAAAAAGCTTGAGCTAAAGTACTCAAAAGCAGACTAAGGGTGTCTAAAGATCGTTTGAAATTCATATAAAACCTTATGTGCTATTTTTTTAAATATTATTATTAGTTTCAGGTGTAAGGTTTGGTGTTGCCGATATTGTGCATTTAATGACCACTTCTGTTTAAGCAAGAAGAATTTCTGTTTAACAATGTCAGAAAAACAGCTCCGCCTTATTACGGGAAAAGTTTTTTTTGTTGTTGTTTTTTTATAAACAGTTCATTGTAAAGAACCGGTTCACAAAATCGATTCAGTGATTCCTTTGCGTCATCGCGCAATGCGTCACACAATGTCCGTGACATCCAGCATTGTATAATTTGTATTCACAGTGCTAAAATTAATGTATATCTCTTGGCTGAAAAGGTTTTTGTTTGTATTAAAGGTAATATGTAGGAATTCGTTGTTATTAGGCAGACTGTGTGAAGGAGGCTGTGGTTCAGTGAGTCACTTTTGTGAGAACCGCTCGAAACGATTCAGTCTGATACATAAATGATTCTTTCAGAAGATTCTTTGAAAATATCCGAATCAAAAAAGAACGAACTGACGTCGCTGTTTTGGGCCTGTAGCTTATCAGAACTGATCGTTCTTTTCTCTGCTCCTAAAGTTTTGACATTTTCCTGAAATCTAGTGACTGCACTCTGGACTGTTACTAACAGGGTAAGTCTGAGTTGTTTCTTATTAAGAGCTTTCTGAAATATGTAATACTGCAAAAATATAAATTCAGCGTCACAGGAATTAGATGTTTCGTTTTCTTTCTACTTTGGTCGAAAGGTAAACTTCCGCCATCCATACCCTGTCAATTATCAAAGTTATTCTAGAATGTTTGAGAAAGAATTCTATTAAGATTAGCTTTAGGCCAAATTGTCACATTTGAATTCATTGCATTGCCCAAATTCTTCTTGTCTCTAGCAGGTTGTCACATGTGCTTTTAATGTTGCAACTGAATATAGTTTCAGTGTCAGTAAATAGCATTGTGGCTCTTTATCCTTAAAGGCTTACTACATGCCCGCTATGTCATTATTTGTTAATTGATCTGTATCTTATTGTCCTTATAAGCAGTGTTGGGGAAAGTTACTTTTAAAAATAATGCATTACAATATTGCGTTACTCCATAAAAAAGTAACTAATCACGGTACGTAGTTACTTTTTATGGAAAGTAATGCATTACGTTACCTTTGCGTTACTTTTAAAATCTGGACAGGGCTTGCTTGTTTGTTTTTAAAATAAAAAAGTTCTATTTTTGGCAAATATAAAAGCCTTTTCACACCAAAAGTTAAATGAATAAGCCTCAGGCTGAAGGGAAAGTAAACTTGCATAATATTTTTTTTACGTAATTTAAGTGAGATGAATTAATGCATATTCATATTTATTTTAGAACTACCTTAACAACATTTGATTTCTCTCAGCATGGGGACAGGAGAGCTGTCAATCAATAAAATGGAAAAAAAAAGTAACTTGCTTTACTTATTTGAAAAAGTAACTCAGATATTCTCTTGTAAGTTAAAAAGTAATGCGTTACTTTACTAGTTACTTGAAAAAAGTAATCTGATTACGTAACTTGTGTTACTTGTAATGCGTTACCCCCAACACTGCTTATAAGGCAATAGCAGTGTCAAGGCTTTTAGTGAACAAGCTTTTTTGTTTCTTCTCTAAAGCTTGATTTGAAATCTTGATGTATTTATACCAGTTGTGATGCACTAGAATGGTAATTTACTTGTCTTTACACAGGACGTTTGGTCTTCATCATCTGTTAAAAGGCTGAAGTCTGCAGCATGTCTCTGACAGTGTCTCAAGGTGAGGGTTTGACGGTCATCACCATCGCCTCAGACCCGAAGAGCAAATGGCCCGTACTGTGTCAGGTTTTGAGTTTTCTCTGCTGCAGTCCGGTGTGTTCTGTGTCTCAGAATATGAAAAAGAAGCTGACGAACATCCACACTGCTCTTGGGGTGAATTAAACAACTGTCTTTTTAATACAAGACTTTCATTACAAGACTTCTGTCATTTTAAGTTGCTTTTTCATTTGTAAGGTGTGAACAAAAATCTTGTTTTTTTTTTTTATGCCGTAGACTATGCAGATAATAGTTGGAGTCATCAATATTGTGTTTGGGATTTTGCTTAAAAGCTCTAGGATATGGAATAACATTACAGAATCTGGGGTTGTTTTCTGGATCGGTGGAGTGGTAAGAATTTGTCTTATTCTGCTTATTTTTATTTTTATAAACCATTAAATGTGTAATGAGTGAGTCTATATATTAAATTTATCAGTAACAAATTTGAGAGGATGAGAAGGGAGAAATCTACTGTAAAATGCATGTGCAAATTTCCATGTTTATATTCATATTGGTTAATTTAATTACTCAAAAAAATGCCTAAAACACTTTCCTTACACCTTACATGTGAGTGTACGCATCTTAATCATTTTCAAAAAAAAAAAAGAGAGAGTAATATATACACACGCATATTAGTAGTGAACATTTCTTCACCAGATATTAACAATATTTGAAAGCAAGAGCTTCTTTAAAAATAATGTTTTATTAGTATAATGGTTTGATAAGTTTTTAATAAGAACGTTTTTTTACACTACCTGAGCAAGTTGCACAAAAGCATCAAAATGAATTTTATTTATAAAGAACATAGATCTTAATTAGTGTTGTGTTATTGACCCATATATTGCTTTTAATTTTTTGGGGCAGGTAGCGTTTAGGACTTTTTATGTATTTTAATGGAATTTGATTTGCTAGTGTTTATGTCATCAGTTGTGATGGATCCAATGCATTTTGATGATTTTGTTTAGCATAACGAAGATCTGATGAGTCAGAAAACCTAATTTACACTTTTCATTTCAATGACTGTGTTTGGACACTCAGAGGTTTTTAATGTTTTTTTAGGTCCTTGTAATTGGAATTGTGACTGTTCTTGCAGCTAAGTTTCCCAGTCCTTTCCTAGTAAGTTGTCTATCAAAGCCATAATAAACTTATCAGTGTTTTTGGAAGTTATGCTGAGCATCACCAGTTTATATTGTTTGTGTTGTACAGCTGGTCATCACAGTGATTCTGAATGTAGTCAGTGCTGCACTGGCAATCACAGCTGCTGTGCTGTATTCAGTGGACCTGGCAACTGGAAATGGTCTATATTGTGACACCAGTTATTACTCGTCTAATAGCTATGCTGTAACACCTTCCCCTGAACAGACGAGGAGAACCGAGATCTGTGTGAAGTACAAGTATCTCAATAAGGTAATGTTTAATTTTTCGTTTTATTTATTAGATTGTGTAGGATCAAATGACCAAAGTTGGGGAAGCTATTTTAGTTTGTGGTTTCACAAGCTATTGGTAATTCGAAGGTATTGCATGAATCTAATCTTTTGTAAAAGTACTTGAAGTTAGGAGGTCATATATTATAAAAATAAGTAACTATAGGATTATATAATTCATAATTCAATCACAGCCATATCACCCTGCAGCCCAAGACTGGTTGCCCACTGAAGCTAAGCAGGGTTGAGTCTGGTCAGTACCTGGATGGGAGACCTCCTGGGAAAACTAGGTTGCTGCTGGAAGAGGTGCTAGTGGACACTATACTGTCAAAAAGCACCGTCTTTCGGATGAGACGTTAAACCGAGGTCCTGACTCTTTGTGGTCATTAAAAATCCCATGGCACTTCTCTTAAAGAGTAGGGGTGTAACCCCTGTGTCCTGGCCAAATTGTCCCCCTGGACTTTGTCAATCATGGCCTCCTAATAATCCCCAACCACTTGATTGGCTCTATGACTCTCTCTCCTCTCCACCTGTAGCTGGTGTGTGGTGAGAGCTCTGGCGCCTTTGTCCTGTGGCTGCCGTCGCATCATCCAAGTGGATGCTTGACTCTCTCTCCTCTCCACCTGTAGCTGGTGTGTGGTGAGAGCTAGCTCTGGCGTGTCCTGTGGCTGCCGTCGCATCATCCAAGTGGATGCTGCACACTGGTAGTGGTTGAGGAGAGACCCCCACACATGATTGTAAAAGCGTTTTGTGTGTACAACAATACACAATAAAGTGCTATATAAATGCATCATTCATTCATTCATTCATTCAACCAGAGCAGTATTACTCTGAATCAAAAACGGCGAGGGTTCTTGAATTATATTGTTTCAGATTGAATTACAGTGGATGTTTGTACTGTATTTCATATAGGCCTTATCGACCATTACTTTCCTCAAATGACACTGTGATCTTTACCCACCTCTAGATGATCCTCGGAGGGCTAGATATCATGATGATAGCGCTGTCGGTCCTTCAGCTCTGTGTGACCATCAGTTTCTGTGTTTTGACTGGGAAAGCTTTGTGCAAGAAGGATGAAGATGTAAAGGTACTGTATCATCAGCACTATTACAACAATCAATCAGTCAAATCCACTGTGATCGTGAGAGAGTTTGAGAGAGCTGCTCTGTGTGTTCATGTTTGTTTGTGGTTTTGCAGTCGGTGGAGGATCCAGAACTTCACAAGCCACTCCTGGAAGATGACACTCCTGGTCCTGCATGTTGAAGAAGCAAAATATAAAGCAACAAATATATACAGTACATACAACACCGCTCAATATAGTAGTGAGATGATTTCCAATATGTTTATTCTTATCAGGTGGTTACTGCTAGTAAATGAAGTGCTGCTTTTTGAAATAAATGTCTTGAGCACTTTGGCACCATCCCTTTTTATATATATATATATATATATATTTAGATAGCACCTCCTGACTATAGTTTAAAATGCGTACAAGTTTACATTATTTATCTCCGTTCAAATCTGACCTTAGATGGAACAGGTTTTCACCCCAATCTGACATTTAAAGCAATAGTTCACCCAGAAATGAAAATCTGCTTTTAGATTTTTATTCCACAGGTATGTCTGCGGTTGAGCTTCAGTGGGATTACAGTGATGCTGTGTGCCACTGTTTTTCCTTGCAGGAGTTTCACTAATTTAAATCAGCTGAAACTGTCACCAAGAGTCAGTACTTCAAATTAAAGGGATAGTTCACCCAAAAATTAAAATTTGATGTTTATCTGCTTACCCCCAGGGCATCCAAGATGTAGGTGTTTTTGTTTCTTCAGTAGAACACACAAATTAAACCCTGCGGCTCGTGACGATACATTGAGGTCTTAAGACACGAAACGATCGGTCTGTGCAAGAAACTGAACAGTATTTATATCATTTTTTACCTCTGATCCACGCAATGTCTGAGCGCGTTCACAACATCCGGTGCGTGACGCGTGTACGTGCTCTGGCATAGTAGACATAGATATATATAAGTAGATGCCTCATTAGTGACTGTTTGTATGGGCCGCGATACGTTCCAAAATGGCGGATGCGTCAACGTATCTGGAGCGGTCGAATAAGGAATCTATACATGATAGTAGATGCATGTGCGGAAGCGATCTGTCGTGCGCATACGTCACTCATTATTTACACAGTGAAGAGAGATTGCGGACGTGTTCACTGGCACAGCGATGATCTAAAGATATTTAGAAGTACAGGTCATCACAATGGAAGACGATTTTGAGATATCATCAGACAACGTGGAATTTTTTGCCCAACCGTATCTATTTGACGTCACGCGGCGGATGTTGTGAACGTGCTCAGGACAGTTGGACATTGCGGTGGATCAGAGGTAAAAAAAATTATATAAATACTGTTCAGTTTCTTGCACAGACCGATCGTTTCGTGTCTTAAGACCTCAATGTATCGTCACGAGCCGCAGGGTTTAATTTGGTTTTGTCAGTGTATGTTTTTTTTACTCTCAAAACCGTGGAGCCCATTGACTGCCATTATATGACTGACTGACTGCAATGGTTTGAGTTAAAAATCTTTGTTTGTGTTCTGCTGAAGAAACAAAGTCACCTACATCTTGGATGCCCTGGGGGTAAGCAGATAAACATCAAATTTTATTTTTTGGGTGAACTATCCCTTTAATGAGGCCTACGATGAATCAGTTCCAAAAATAAACACAAGACCAGTCCTAATTGAAAGAAAACAAGCTGACAAAAAGACACCTAAGATATGCAATATTAGGTGATAATATTGCATAACAAGAGATTTATAAGCTATTTTTGTAGGCCGGTCATTTTTGACCGGGAACACCACAAGTGTAACAAGGTTAAATAACATAAAAATTGTTTAACAAAAATTAACAAATTTGTTTTGCGGTGGAAGTAGTTATGCCCTGTGTGAACAAAGACGAAGTAAATCTTAGTCCAATGCGATAACATTAAACCTTTATGCACAACATGGGTCTAAAGTGACCCGACTGACTTTTTATTTTATATATCATAAAGGTGCATCTCAATAAATTAGAATGTCGTGGAAAAGTTCATTTATTTCAGTAATTCAACTCAAATTGTGAAACTCGTGTATTAAATAAATTCAATGCACACAGACTGAAGTAGTTTAAGTCTTTGGTTTTTTTAATTGTGATGATTTTGGCTCACATTTAACAAAAACCCACCAATTCACTATCTCAACAAATTAGAATACTTCATAAGAACTTCATACTTCAATAAAAAAAACATTTTTAGTGAATAGTTGGCCTTCTGGAAAGTATGTTCATTTACTGTACATGTACTCAATACTTGGTAGGGGCTCCTTTTGCTTTAATTACTGCCTCAATTCAGCGTGGCATGGAGGTGATCAGTTTGTGGCACTGCTGACGTGGTATGGAAGCCCAGGTTTCTTTGACAGTAGCCTTCAGCTCATCTGCATTTTTTGGTCTCTTGTTTCTCATTTTCCTCTTGACAATACCCCATAGATTCTCTATGGGGTTCAGGTCTGGTGAGTTTGCTGGCCAGTCAAGCACACCAAACACCATGGTCATTTAACCAACTTTTGGTGCTTTTGGCAGTGTGGGCAGGTGCCAAATCCTGCTGGAAAATGAAATCAGCATATTCAAAAAGCTGGTCAGCAGAAGGAAGCATGAAGTGCTCCAAAATTTATTGGTAAACGGGTGCAGTGACGTTGGTTTTCAAAAAAACACAATGGACCAACACCAGCAGATGACATTGCACCCCAAATCATCACAGACTGTGGAAACTTAACACTGGACTTCAAGCAACTTGGGCTATGAGCTTCTCCACCCTTCCTCCAGACTCTAGGACCTTGGTTTCCAAATGAAATACAAAACTTGCTCTCATCTGAAAAGAGGACTTTGAACCACTGGGCAACAGTCCAGTTCTTCTTCTCCTTAGCCCAGGTAAGACGCCTCTGACGTTGTCTGTGGTTCAGGAGTGGCTTAACAAGAGGAATACGACAACTGTAGCCAAATTCCTTGACACGTCTGTGTGTGGTAGCTCTTGATGCCTTGACCCCAGCCTCAGTCCATTCCTTGTGAAGTTCACTCAAATTCTTGAATCGATTTTGCTTGACAATCCTCATAAGGCTGCGGTTCTCTCGGTTGGTTGTGCATCTTTTTCTTCCACACCTTTTCCTTCCACTCAACTTTCTGTTAACATGCTTGGATACAGCACTCTGTGAACAGCCAGCTTCTTTGACAATGAATGTTTGTGGCGTCAACGTATCTGGAGCGGTCGAATAAGGAATCTATACATGATAGTAGATGCATGTGCGGAAGCGATCTGTCGTGCGCATACGTCACTCATTATTTACACAGTGAAGAGAGATTGCGGACGTGTTCACTGGCACAGCGATGATCTAAAGATATTTAGAAGTACAGGTCATCACAATGGAAGACGATTTTGAGATATCATCAGACAACGTGGAATTTTTTGCCCAACCGTATCTATTTGACGTCACGCGGCGGATGTTGTGAACGTGCTCAGGACAGTTGGACATTGCGGTGGATCAGAGGTAAAATATTATATAAATACTGTTCAGTTTCTTGCACAGACCGATCGTTTCGTGTCTT